TTTGTAATCGTATGAAGTTGGTTGACTTCCCAGCTGGTGCTAGTGGTCAAGAGCCTGCTTGCCAATGCAGGAGACCTAAGAGACTCTGGTTCCATCCCTGGGTCGGGAAGATCCCCTTGAGGAGGAAATGGCAACCCAGTCCAGCGTTCTTGCCTGGGAAATTCCATGGACAGAGGAGCCTGGCAGGCTACAGTCAAAGGGATTGCAAAAGAGCTGGCCACGACTGAGTGACAGCAGGCATGCACCTACCATCGGACCACAGGACTCAATGTTGGGGGCTTGAAAACACAAGAGAAGCAGTCATCAAGAGGACGTAAAGATCTATGTCCTTAGGCTTTGAGTGCTGCCCCGGATGAATCTCAGAAAAGATGTTGGGACCTTTGTGCCCATACATTTAAATGGCATCTAAACCTTTTACTCTAAACGAGGTTCTCCAATTCTCTAGTTAGAGGAATAGATAGATAGATGAAAGATAAAATATTTTAATTAAAAATAAAGCATTAATCATTATCTCTTGATAGATTTAAAATGCTTCTTCATTTATTTCAATTGTTATTTGTCTTATCCCCATTTTTATTTTGAATATAATATGATATGCAAAACAAATGGCAAATACCAACATGATTACACATTCCTGAATGGTTGGATCATGACATGTTCCAAAAAAAAAGAAAGAAATCTTGGCAATTAGGTAATTTTATTCATCTATTCACTACTTCATGGCAAATATATGGGGAAACAGTGGAAACAGTGACAGACTTTATCTATTTGGGCTCCAAAATCATTGCAGATGGTGATTGCAGCAATGAAATTAAAAGACGCCTGTTGCTTGGAAGAAAAGTTATGACCAACCTAGACAGCATATTAAAAAGCAGAGATATTACTTTGCCAACAAACGCCCATCTGGTCAAAGCAATGGTTTTTCCAGTAGTCGTGTATGGATGTGAGAGTTGGACTATAAAGAAAGCTGAGTGCCGAAGAATTGATGCTTTTAAACTGTGGTGTTGGAGAAGACTCTTGAGAGTCCCTTGGACCACAAGGAGATCCAACCAGTCCATCCTAAAGGAAATCAGTCATGACTTGCACTCAGCAGCAAGGTTTCAAGGATAGATACACCAAGGGAAAGACAGAGCACGCACTAATGAGAAAGCCTGAATCAGTTCAGCAGACCTAAAGGTCTTGATCTCTTAGCGTGTGTATGAAAGCAATACTGCAGAGCAGAAGAAGACAACTAGTCATGCCTAGTCTAGACCACAGAACATTCTCTAACCTAATTCGCTGCCGTTGTTCAGCCTAATCTGGACCACAGAACATTCACTAACCTAACTTGTTGTTGTTCAGTGGCTAAGTCGTGTCCGACTCCACCAACCCAAAGACACCCCTGAAGCGCTGCTGCCAGTCCCTGCTCTGGGGTATGCCCCTTAGAGGTGAGAAGAAGAGGCTTGATTTCTGTGGAGGCCACAGGAATATATACAGACAACACTGGGCTGGAAGAACAAGAGAGACCTACGTGCCCATGCCACAGCACAGGAACAGTCGAAAGGAGCAGAAGTAATGAGCAGGGGCTCACAGCCAGGACATGGAAGCAACCGAGATGCCCATCGGCAGGCGAATGGATAAGAAAGCTGTGGTACATATACACAGTGGAATATTACTCAGCCATTAAAAAGAATGCATTTGAATCAGTTCTAATGAGGTGGATGAAACTGGAGCCTATTGTACAGAATGAAGTAAGCCAGAAAGAAAAACACCAATACAGTATACTAACACATACATATGGAATTAGAAAGATGGTAACGATAACCCTATATGCGAGACAGCAAAAGAGACGCAGATGTATAGAACAGTCTTTTGGACTCTGTGGGAGAGGGCGAGGGTGGGATGGTCTGAGAGAACAGCATTGAAACATGTATATTATCATATGTGAAACAGATCACCAGTCCAGGGTTGATGCATGAGACAGGGTGCTCAGGGCTGGTGCACTGGGAAGACCCAGAGGGATGGGATGGGGAAGGAGGTGGGAGGGGGCTTCAGGATGGGGGACACGTGTACACCCATGGCTGATTCATGTCAATGTATGGCAAAAACCACTACAATACTGTAAAGTAATTAGCCTCCAATTAAAATAAAGAAATTTTTTTAAAAGGAGCTCCTGTCAGCCATCCTCTTGGGCTGCCTGATGGTCACAGGACTCTGAAACTCAGCTATGAACCACTCCTATGTTGCATGAAAGAACCCTAACATAATGAATTTGTACACTCACTGCCTTTAATGATTAACGAATGAGGAAGATGGGCAGATAATGTAGTAACAGTCATATCAACTCTTTGAGAGGTTATCATGACCTCTGCATTTCAGCCCAGAGAATTGAGAGGTAGGATCATACTTTTCCCAGAAACCACAGTAAGAAACTCATATCCCTGAGCTTCATACCCAGGACTTGCTAATCCTAAAGAGAAAGCTGTTCCCAGAAGAACTGGAGATGATTCCAAAGGAAGTTGCTTCCTTAGCACCTCTCAGAGGCTCCTCTGAGTCTATTGAAACGGACTTGAACATCCTTCCATGGCCTCAGATCTCTTTATCTTGAAGATGCATTTGAAATTAGAGGAGCAAAAAGACAATTCTCTCAGAATCACTGAATAACTCGGGTGGTCACCAGTGCCTCTGGGATGAAAAAAGTACCATGAAATGGGAAGGGTTTGTGCTGTGAAAAGTCACCAGTGCCTCTGGGATGAAATGGGAAGGGTTTCACGTGTGTCTTATGAAATTGCTCTGAAAGCATTGCTACAAGAGAAGTTCAATGCGTACATATTTCTTAATGTCACCGGAATAACCTAGGAAATTTGACATCAGCTAAGTGTGAGGAAAAGAGCTCTAAAAATACAGAAACACTGAGATCTACATACTGCCCTGCACTGAGCTTGTAGGATGACTGTGTCCAAGTTACTTCTTCTTTATAGAACTCAGTTTCTCATTTGAAAGTGAAAAGATCAGCTGGAGAAACAGTGGGTCTCTGAGGATAGCTCATTTGTAAGGCTTTAGGTTTGTGGGTGCATCCTAAATTGCTTCAGTTGTGTCTGATTCAGTGCGATCCCATGGACTGTAGCTTACCAGGCTCCTCTGTCCATGGGGATTCTCCAGGCAAGAATACTAGAGTGGGTTGCCATGCCCTCCCCCAGGGGATCTTCCCGACCCAGGAATCAAACCTACTTTCTTATGTCTCCTGCATGGGCAGGTGAGTTCTTTACCACTAGCACTACCTGGGAAGCCCTAAAGCCTTTAGCTTTACATTCTGCTAAAAAGTTGGGATGAATTCAGCATAGCACATTTTTTTTTTCTCTCTCTTCTTCTCTCTAGAAAGGAAAAACACTTATAGGAATGAAAGAAAGAGTTGAAAATGCAGAAAAGGGCATGAGCTTGCTCCTTGCAGGCAGCTGGAGAGGAGATAAGGCTTCTCCTATTTGTGATTTGCTTTCTCCCCTTCCACATAGCTGCGGTGGCAAATGAGGCTCATTAGAACCTCCTATTGATTAAGTGTCTGCCTTTGGAAGGTCATTTGGGACTAAAATCAGTTTGCAGAGCAAAAAAACATAGGATGAGTGGCTCAGACTGGTTCTACACTGTTAGAGAATTGGGAGGAGTGTTTTATGTGCATCCTGAAGTTACCAGTGACAGGGAAGGCAAGGGCTGACCCAGAGAGATGCTGGTAATTGGAATCCACGGTTGTTTGTGCACCCCCTCTGCCTCATGCCAGCAGCACCCAGTGAGAGGACACTCGCTGTGAACATGGAATTATTTACCAGGTCCCGGAAATTTAGCCTATCTGAAGGTTTGTATTTAACTGTAATTGTCTGCATGAAGCCTGCTGAGAAGACACACTCTTGGTTTTAGAATGGGCCCAAGAATAACCATGTTCGAGCATTACAATTCTTTCCATTATGAATACAACACCCCAGAGCAGGTTTCTAAGGGCCCTGACAACTTGAATTACTATCTTTTCCTACTCAGCTGCCTCAGATTGAGCTGACAATGAAATGACTTTAAACAATGTCATGCCTCTTTACCCTCAGACTCAGCCTCCAGAACCTCAGTCACACTCCAGTGGCACACGCGAGGAAGGGAGTGTTGAATCAAGAGGCAAAGGGTTCAGGGATTCTCTCGTAGCTCTGTGGCCGATGAGCCATGTGACCTTGGCAAAGGTCATTCCCAGCTCCCGCACCCACTTTCTGTCTCAGAGCAAAATGAGAAGTTAGATAAACCAGAGAAGCTTTCTGAATCTTTCCGATTTCTAATTTAATTCCACAAACATTTGCAGAGTTTATATGTGTTACAGTCACCGTGCTAGACAGCTCCCAGCTGTATAATTTATTTTTTATTCCATTGAAAACTAGAGTCAGGTAATTTTCATGCAATTTTTAGCACAAAATCACTGGACTGGGAGTCGCATGCCTCAAGTTCTACTTACAGCTTCATCACTAAATATTTGTGTGATCTTTCCAAAGTTCCATCAGCCATCTGGGCTTTAGTTTCTTCATCTGTAAAAGGAGACGGAAGAATGAGGGACTGTGTTGAGAGTTCACAGCCAGCCTGAGAGTACTTTCTCGTCCACCAATCCTATAATCGCCACCCTCTGAGTGAGCATTCTGTGCCAGGTGGTCGGATAAGAACTGGGGGTGTGTAGAAAAACCAACTATCTGGAAAGTTTTTTTAAGGAGATCCAAAAGGATGAGCAGTGACATTTATTCCGTTTTGACTTTGCCTTGTTCCGGACATCTCCCTGGAGTGCACCGTGCCCATGAAGCCAGCCACTTAACCGCCTTCTGCCGCGCTGCTGTGAGCGTGGGCTCAGGTCCACGTTCACTGAGATCTTCAGCATTTTGCAGCACTGTCACATGAGAGACGATTTATGTTGTGGAGTCTAATTCAGGAGGTCAGAATTTAAGTTCTCACTGCTCGCTCCTTCTCTACCTCCCCACCCCGCGTCCCTCCCTCTCTCTTACCAGTTCTCATCACGCTGCTGCTCGGTCTCCTGGACCCCAGGACCCTCCCTTGAGTCTCCGCAGACAAAAACCTCTGTTCTGCCTTGGCGCTCATGCTTGGTCACTCAGCCATGCACAGCTCTCTGCGACCCCGTGGACTGTAGCCCACCAGGCTCCTCTGTCCATGGGCTTCTCCAGGCTGGAATACTGGAGTGGGTTGCCCTTCCCTTCTCCAGGGGATCTTCCTGACCCAGGGATCAAACCCCGGTCCCCTGCATTGCAGGCAGTTTCTTTACCATCTGAGCCACAGGGAGGCCCCAGCAGTCTTTGCCTTTACTGTTCCCTCTGCTTAGATATCTTTCTCCAGAGGTTGTTTTCTTTCTTTCTTTTAAAAGGACTGACTCTTGGACAAAATTCCTATTCTAAATCCAGCATTTCCTCCCAAGGGAACATTTTTCCCCACGAGTCATTTACAGTGATATGTTTCAAACATATATAAAATATATATTTCTAATATATATCTTTATTTCTCATTCCTATTCTTATTCCACCTAATTTTAAATTCCATACTTGTTTTGAAAGCCTAAGCCTAGATAAATGACTGGAAAATAACAAGCATCCAATGGCGATTTCCTACACACAGAGAGCTAACAGACATAAAGTCTGAGGGCACAGAGTCAGCTCAATAAAAGCCAAATTTATCTAAACCAAACTTTCCTCGAAATGGAAAGGAGATATTCATGAAACTCTGAGGCAGAATGGGAAATGAAAGGTCAGGGGTTGGGCAGGGGTGAGAGATGAGACAGGAGATGTCCCAGGGGGTAAATCATGTAGGCACTCGACTGTCCCTGGAATATATCACGTTTTATTGTTTAGATAATATAGAGCCTGTGAAGGGTATATTAATCAAGGTCCTTGTTTAAAAAATAAAATCAATCTAGCTATGTTAAGCAGGAGAAGAAATATTTATTATATTTCAGTTCTCACAGAATCTCTGGGGGCATCAGATTTCCCGGGAACAGCTGTAAATATAGCAGCTCAGAACATCACAGGTCTTGTCTAGCAGAAACACGGCTGCCATCACTGTCTGTCCTGGGCACCTGTGACTCCATAACTGGATTCTAGAAATACCACCATCACTCTCTCAGAGCAATAGTTCAAGTGGTTCACGTCGGCCACTGGGTTTTAGAAAGCCCACCTGCTTTGCAGAATCTAGGAGCTACATGAACTCTAGCCGCAAGGGTGTCTTGGAAGTATAGCTTTTATCTTTTCAGCCTCCTCAGCACAGAAAGATTTATTAGGAGACCAGGGACGGGTGCTAAAGGAGCCAGCCCACTGTAGCTTCCATCCGGAGTCCCACCTCAGGAGCATGACTCAGTCTAGAAGAGAATGTCAGACAACCCGGCGAGTATTTCAGGGAAGGGATGTCTGCACCGGGTGGGATTGACCACTTTCTAAGTCACCTTCCAACACTGGGATTCTCTGACTATTTGGGGATCAGCTTCTTGAATAGGATATAAGTTAGGAGAACAGCTTTATTCTTATTGAGCAATTACTATGCTCCCAATGCTGGGCTGAGTATCTTGCTGGTACTGATTCATAAAATCCTATTAGATATTCTATGAGGTATGTGATGAAAACCCTCTATACCCCTTTATCAACACACATCTTCCCTGGGCTGGAACTGTCTGTCCCAGAGGAGGAGAAGTTGAGAGAAGCTGAAAGTCAGAATACATATTAGACTGCACACTTTTCCAGGAAACAGGGTTATTGTCTTTGAAGGTCACTATCAGTCTCCCTCTTACATCTTCTGCTCTGATAATGAATGGAGAACTAAAGGATGCTCCTGTGTGCACACTCTGGATGCTTAAGGGCTCAGCAACTTGAGACAGTGTTTACTTCGTCTAGGGCAGACCTAGTCTTGTCCCTAACTCTTCTGTGAGTGTTGTGTTCTCTCTGGAATGAAAGTGCATGAACTCCAAAGATAGAGAAGGGGAAATGGAATTTCACTGAAACCTCCAGCCTCACCAATGTTCTCCAATCCAGTTTTTACCCAAGATCCTCTCATTAGCAGTGTTAGGTTTTTGTTCAGACATGAATAGATCCTGTATTTAGGTTTATAACTCCCTCAGATGGAAATTTTAGAGAAAGAAAAAGTGAATGCTACAATATGAGCACCAAAACGTTATGCAGAATCCCTAAAAGCAGGTATCTCTTTTTTTTTACTTTTATCATGCCAATACCATTTTTCTGGTTGTGATATTGTCACAGATAATACATAAAATGTCACCACTGAGGGAATTGAGGTGAAAAGTACACAGAACCTCTCTGTACCCTTTTTGCAATTTGAATCTATAATTAGTTTAAACTGTCATCTTTTTTTAAAAGAAGGTATCAACATCATCAGCAACAAGGTCTGCAAAATCACTGGTCTCCTCCAGGGCAGGGAAGGCTCAGTCTTCAAAACACCCAAGGCCTGTTTCTCACATCTTGAGAGAAGAGGAGACCTTTTCATTACTTCCTGAGCACATGTACCAAAAGAGATAAATGACTGGAAAATAAAACAGGTTGAACTTGAATGAAGGAAAGAAAGAGAGAGTGAAGGAAGGAAAAAATAGACATTTTATGTCTACTTTCACTTGTAGAAACAAAACTAAGCACTGGGCTGGAGCTAACAGTGTTTGGATTCTAACTTATCTTTCTATTCCTCTTTTCACTCATTCTGATCTGGGACGGTAAAGAATGCAAAGACTACTCACCCTTGCTTCCAGAATGATGCTCAGTCAGTATAGTCACTGACACTCAGGGAAGAACCAGGCCCTGATCCCCTGTGCAAAGCCAACTGCACAGCTTCCACGGGGACGGCTCGTAGCCAAGGGACCTTTGATCCCTGAGAGCATTTGGACCAAAACGACAAGCATTTCTCTCTGTCAGAGCTATTTCAGAGGCCTGCTTATGAACCACATCTCGCCAAGAGTAAACCAGAGTGAACACCCAGAGACGGCAGGTGGGAGTCCAACCTCCATAATGTGTGATTATGCCATAACCCTGCAGACACTCGAGTGTCACAGAGGGCTTTGACGCAGTGGAGAAAGAGAAGGTAGCCAAAGTAGGATGCGATATGAAGAAATGTAAAGGAATCATGGCTCCATTGAAAACTTAAACACCCTGTAATCAAGTGTCTTGTCTTTGATAATTTGCACTGAGTGTGCATGTCTGAGCATGTCTGTTCAAAGGGAAATATGGTGCATGGGTGGGAGAGAGGGCTTACAGCTCTATGAGATGGATGTTAACATCTTGTTTAAAGCTGTATTTTCTTCAGATAGCTTCCATAATTAAACACAGGAAGGACACTGATTCAGGGATTTGGGCTGGAAAATGTGAACACAAGGGAAAAGCAGGAAGTTCAGGAGCTATCAATGCATAAAGAACAACAAAATGAGTCAGGAATTACGGGTCTAAGACCTTCTAGCCTCACAGAGTAGCTATGAAACCCAGAGCAAACCCTTTTTGCAGTCTCTTTCATGAAATGTCATCTTGGAACAGGTATGAGGATCAATAGAGTAAGCTACATGAAAGCAATTCATAAAAGGTGAGAACTTCACGTACTGAGTACTGACTGAGTGCCTCTTGTATGTCAGTTTGCTGTAGGTACATAATGTCCCTTGAGCTCACCAACCAATCCTCTGCTTGGGGTCTTCTTGAGTACTGTTTCCTCTGTCTAGAATACTCTTCCTACTTACCTTTTTCTTGCTTTCTCCTTTTATTCATTCATTTCTTCTCCCCAAAGTCACCTTCTCTGAGATGCCTTTTCTGACTCAGCCCCTCCCACTCTCTCATTTCCAGCTTTACTTTGTTTCATATTTATAATTGCTCTTTTTTTTCTTTACAAATAAGAAAACTGAGGTCAGTAAGCATCTCCTTACCTAATAACATAGCTAACATTTACTGAGCACAGATTATGTGCCAAACTCTAGTATAGGCACTTTGAGTATCATAGCTCATTAACCTCTCTATCCAGTTAATTTGCAAGTGTATTTCCTTCTTTAAGGAGTTAAACTACTAAAGGGAGAAGTGAATTAGAGACAAACCTCTTCCTTTATAGATCTGGCCAAGACTCCTTTCCTTGGATGATGATGCATCAGCTTGTCTGACTCCCCCACCTGACTGCATCTTGATCACCATTGTACCCCTAAACCTCACACACTTCTTGGCATATCATAACTGATTAATGCATGGTCATTGATTGAAAGGGAAAAAAAAAGCTTTATTGAATGTAAATAATCTTGTGCCATGCCTAGAAGACAGCAGGTAAATATCATCATTTGCATTATTATGCTGAACTTGTCATTGCATTCTTCACTCGAGCTTAGTCTCTTGTCATGTGACTCTTTACAACCCCATGGACTAAAGCATGTCAGGCTCCTCTGTTCATGAGATTTTCCAGGCAAGAATACTGGAGTGGGTTGCCATGTCCTCCTCCAAGGGATCTTCTCAACCCAGGGATCGAACCCAGGTCTCCTGCATTCCAGGTGGATTCTTTACTGACTGAACCACCAAGAAAGCACTTGCGGATGCTATATTTCACATGAACCGAATACAACCTAATCAGTAGATTCTGTGATCCACATTTTATGTATGAACCTTCTGATATTCATGAGGGTTAAGTGATAAACTGGCAGACATCAGAGTTATTTAAACCACCTCTATCTCCATGTCTAACTTTTTTGCAATCTACATTCATTTCTCCTTCATGAAACTCAGGTTCCTTCAGACTCTAAAACTGTCTCTTTCATGGGCCCAAATGTCTGGAAATGGAGCATAATCTGTCAAAGAAAACCCATCTCATATTTTCTTTTCTTGAAAGTGTCTTCAACATTCACTCAGCAGGAAACACTGAGTTTCTACACTGTGCCAGGCAGTGTGTTTGTTGTTTAATCGCTGAAATCTTTGCAACCCCCATGGACTGTAGCCCAGTAGGCTGCAATGTCCATGAGATTTGCAGGCAAGAATACTTGGGCAGGTTGCAATTTCCTTCTCAATACCTAAGCAATGTGCTGGATATTGAGAAAATCTGGAGGAGTTAGACTAGTCGTCACCTTCAAGAGGCCCTCC